GTGTGTGTCCTCGAGTGTTAAGTCACGCAGGGGTCTGGTCTAGCTGTGTCCACCTGACTATAGGAACAGACGGCATACAAGTCTTTGGCTCTGTGACCTCAGAGGTCAAGGTCAGGTTCGGTAAGATGAACAGTCAAGGTCAGGCTCCAGCCATATAAGGTGAAGGGTCAAGGTTAGGCTCCGAGCGTAAAAGGTCAAGGTCAGGGTTTCCCACACTCCTGGAGGATATTAACAGAAAGAAACAGTAAGAACGTGTTTGTGTTTGACGCCACTTTCAACACTTTAAAGGTTAGCCCTTTTAAAAGACGAGACTACCGGTTGCAATATCCATCTCCGATAGGACCAAACCAGAGGAGGGAAGATAAAGACGATAGATGTTTGATAGGAAAGAAGGAGCAAACCACACCAGAGCACCCGCCAACCGCCCAATCACACACGTCTTTGAACACAGGAACACACACCTTTGACACATAGGCAACACACGTCTTTGACACACATGGAACACACACGTCACATGAAACACACACGTCTTTTCAAGACAGGCAACACACACACGTCTTTGATACACAGGGAACAAGTCACAAACTGTGTGCGTGTAGTGGGTGCTTCGTGTGTGTATGTGAGTGTGTGTGTGTATGTGTGTGTGTGTGTGTGTGTAATGTGTGTACGTGCATGTGTGTGTGTGTATGTTTGTGTGTGTGTGTGTGTGTGTGTGTGTGTGTGTGTGTGTGTGTGTGTATGTAAGTGTGTGTAGTGTGCCTACGCGTGTGTGTATGTGTCTAGTGTGTGTATGTGGGTGTATGAGTGTGCGTATATGTGCGTGTATGTGTGTGTGTATATCTAATGGGTGTACATATGTGTAGTGTGTCTGTGCGTGTGTGTGAGTGTGTGCGCGCGCGTGTGTATGGGTGTGTAGTGTGTATGTGTGGGTGTATATATGTGTGTATCTAGTGTGAGTACGTGTGTGCGTATGTGTGTGTTTGTGTAGCGTGTGTTTAGTGTGTCTGTAGCGTGTCACCAGAACACACGTACACACCGACAGTGTGTAGAGGCTGTGACGGGCCCACAGAGTAAGCTACACGTCTCGTCACTGTTTCTCCCTCTGCCTCATTCCTACCCTTTTGTCCAGCACAGCGGCTCCTGGGTTAATAGTTATTGCCATAATCATAAAATAAGATTGTCATGATAATACTAATAAAAATACTACTATTAATGATAACAATGATGATGACGATTTTTAAAAAATGATGATGATGATGATGATGATGATGATGATGATGATGATGATGATGATGATGATGATCATGATGATGATGATGATGATGATATAAATGATGATTGATGATGATGATTGTGATGATGATAATAATAATTAAAAAATACTACTACTACTACTACTACTACTACTACTACTACTACTACTACTACTACTACTACTACTACTACTACTACTACTAATAATAATAATAATAATAC